CTTACTATACAGTAGAATGTCATCGAGATAGACTACTATGAACTGATCAAGCCATTGACGAAATAACTCGTTCATTGAACTTTGGAAGGTCGCAGGTGCATTGGCCAAACCGACGGGCATAACCACAAACTCATAGTGTCCATACCTGGTTCGGAAAGCCATCTTATGTTGATCTTCAGGAGCCGCCTCAATCTGGTGGTACCCTGACTTGAGATCAATCTTGCTTAAGTACCTGCATCCCTGAAACTGGTCTAACAGGTCGTCAATGCGCGAAAGTGGTTTCGTGTTTTTCACAGTGACGGAGTTCAGCCCACGATAATCTATACATAGACAAAGTTCACCTTCCTTTTTGGGCACGAATAAGACAAGGGCACCATAAGGAGATGCGCTAGGGCGAATCTATCCTTTGTTAATAAGTTTTTGCAACTGTTTACGCAATTCCTCAAATTCTCTGGGAGGCATTCGATAGATGGGACCCTTGGGAATCTTGCTTCCCGGAATAATCTCAATCGTGTGCTTAATAGCACGCTTAGTGATTCCCGTCGGCTCAATCTGCAAGTCCTTACACTCGTTGAGACGTTTCTCGATAGAAGGTGGATAGAATGAGGAACACTCGCCGACTCGTTTGACAAGCACCATCATCACCTCCTGATCCAACTTCTTCTTAACTACCATCGAACGAAAAGCTCGATAACTCATACAACAAAAAGACAAGAGTAGAATCAAAGCCAAACCTATGGTATAGCTTAATCGTTCGAAATTCAGACTTTTCGTCATTGAGTTTGACAATCTTATTTTTGAATTTAACTTCTGGGTCGGCTTCCTCGTGCCAATCCATACCCAAAATTATGTCAAAGGGCAAGTTCTTCTCTATTAGAAAGGATACTTCATGTAGGATCTTCTTTTCTTCCTTAGTCCTGAAATAACACTTGACACGATCGATGTATTGAGAGACAATGATCGTGCTCTTGTCAACCAGTATAGACGTGATAGGTCGAGGTAAATCCTTCACCTTCATTCCCAGATGCAATTTACGAATTGCCTTCTCTGAGATGTAAAACCTCGTCGATTCTGGATCTAACAGTGCACCAACTCGCGTGTGCGCTATCTCAATTTCCGCGATCATTAACTCACTTTTAGACTTAGCTTTCTTAGCCCACAAACTCCTAAGTGCTATAAGTTCAGTACCGAGTTCGCCAAGGGAATCGTCCGGTGAGACAGAGCAAAGAACAGTGTCAGGGTGCTCTGGACGATAGGCCGAAGAAGAGTCATCCTTTGCCTTGAGAGTCGAAAGGTTAGAAGGGGTTGTAGGCGCCTTACCTTTGTCTTCGTCTGAACCTTTCGACTCAGTAGGAGCAGATGCTACTCCTACTAGTTGTTCGCTTTTGGGTTTCTGATAAGTGGGCACCAGGCTATAAAATGCCCCACAGTGCCACACTTGAGGCACTGGCGATTGTCCATCTTGAACTGCCATTCCTCACGCGTCATGTTGATCTTCTCCCAAGGCTTCCCGAACGCAATGCCAGGGTGCTCGGGAAACGAGTGTGGCCTCCTTTTCTTCTTCCATTGACTTTGGCCTCCCTTGTTGGCCACAACGGCAGTGACATCACCCTTCCCAGATTCACTGCCGCCATTACCTCCTCCTCCCTGGGACTCGTCGAGGGGTAACTTTTCTACGGTGTCATCATAAAAAACAACTAACATATGGTCCTGACGTTTTTGCCGCCAAAGGACTCGCTTACCGTATCCACCAGCCGGTCCCGACTTTACCACCGAAGCGTAAGACCCTTTTACCTGTGCGGTCATCTGCTCTCGTTGGAGAGCGAGATCGCAAAACTGTCGATAATTAAACTTACCAGACTTGGCTTCTGCCACGAGCTGTCTGTGAATGGGCTCAGGCAACAATGCACGTGAGTATATATACAGGACCTGGTTGTCCTGCAAGTTCAACCCGAGTACCTGCAAAAGACGGTCAACCTCACGTGACAAAGCATCAACCAAAATCCACGTTCTGGCTGATTGTAGTGAGTTCGTCGAAGGCCTTATCGACCGTCATCTTATTAAGAAACCTCTCCTTTATCTTTTGGAGAAATCGCTCGAGGTTCAGGGTCTTCGCTCACTCACCAATGTCTTCAAAGCCAACGGCATTGGCTTCGGCCAGCACCCATTCCTTAACCACTCCTCCGAGACACGACGTAGAGAAAGCGACTTGACTTTCAGGATCAACGAGTGTGGTCCCACAATAAGTCTATATTTCCACGATCCACAACAACAAATTCTCGTTTTTTTTGTTGTTGTACATGAATGACAACTTCATCTTGACTTTTTTCTTCTTCAGTTTTTCCGCTTCCTTTATCGGTTTTTCTTTCTTAGCGGGTTCTTCTTTCTTCTCGGCCAGTCTCTCGTTTTTTTTCTTTGAACTTTCAGACTTCTCCGGCGCAACTCTCTTCATTGCATCCTTTATTAGTTTCTCCTGGGGTTCCTTCTTGACTACCTCCCC